CCCCCCGCTTACGAAGAAGTCCGCGAATTCCGGCCACTTTATTTTCAGATTCTTTTTTTTACTGGTACAATGGAATAGTGCACCAGCTTTAGCCAACTACATTTCAAGATGTCAATTTTCTTTTACTTTCATGTGTTTAACTTGAAGATTTGGCAGCTTGAAGTGTTCCTGAATTCGTGCGTCTGAAAATACAGGTTATGTGGGCCCGAAGCGAGGGCTTGGGTGCCCCTTCCGCCCAAGCAGCGGAGGCACGGCCCCATCTCCGCCCTCTGGATCTGCCATTGTTCGTATACTGGTTTTACAAACGTGGGGCAAGAGCGGTCATTGGTCAAACTTAGCTGGCATGGCAAAATGCAAGCTTCCGCTCCGGCTACACACGGCATCAACTGTCCCACCCAACGCAAACCGGTGCACGTCTGCAGCCTTGTTCGTGTGCATAGAAGCGTCAGTGTATGACAGTCACTGTCCGAGGTCGGCTGGTCGGTCTGCTGATGGCTGGGTTGGGCAATGACGCCGGAGCAAGGGGTCAACGTGTCAGTGGGGGGGGGGGGGGGGGGGAGGGGGGGCGTGTCTCTGAAGTACTGGGGCGGGCGGTGTCTGTTTATGGAACGCTTCTCAAGTGTCAGGTGCCTGCAAGTGGGATTTCAGGCATGCGTGGCATCATCTGACTGGACCGTGTCTGCACGCAATGCATACATGAATGCATACACATAAGGATTTCTGTATGTATGTGTGTACGCATGTGCGCATGTATGTATTTATGTAAGTGCGTGCGTGCGTGCGTGCGTGTGTGTGTGTGTGTGTGCGCGTGCGCGCGTGCGTGCGTGCGTGCGTGCGTGCGTGCGTGCGTACGTGCGTGCGTGCGTGCGTGCGTGCGTGCGTGTGTGTGTGTGTGTGTGTGTGGTGTGTGTGTGTGTGTGTGTGTGTGTGTGTGTGTGTGTGTGTGTGTGTGTGTGTGTGTGTGTGTGTGTGTGCGCGTGCGCGTGCGCGTCACTGACTTGCGTTGGGTTATTGTCTCCAAGGACCACGACTGCGTTACTGCCCACACCACGCTGCCACCGTGTTGTGCATGCTAGCCGTCTCTCTCCCCCAGTCCAGGCCAATGGCCGGCCCTGCTGTCTAATGCGCACCCCGACCCTAGCCTTGAAGCCAGCCCTGAGAGACTAACCCTGATCTGAGAGACGCAGTGCACGCCGCCGCCGCCGGTGACGTCAACGCAGAGCCAGCGCAGCTCCTCCTCGACGTACACCTCGGCCCAGTGGTCGACGGCGGCGCGCGCCGGCCGGCCGCCGCCCGGCTCCGGCTCGCTGGAGCTGCTCAGCACACGCCGGTCTCGTTCGCCTCGGAAGGACGGCCCGGCCGGCTCGTAGTCATCGGACGAATCGGACGGCAGCCGAGGTCGGCGCTTGCCCTTGCGCTCGAAGCCCGCTCTGGTGGCCGCTGCTGGAACTGACGCCGACGCCGCGCCTTTCTTCGGCTTCGGCTGGCTTGCTGAGGTGGCCTTCCTGGTGCCTGTGCTCGCCTTAGCGCCGTCCCGCTTCGGCGTTTTGCCGCTCGGCTCCTTTTTCACCTTGGGTGCAGACTTGGGCGGCGTGGCAGTCGCGGACACGGCGGAAACGGGGGCCGGCTTCAGAGGAGACGGCTGCAGCGACATAACCAGACGGCAATCGACTCCGATGGCCCGCAGTATCAGCACGAACAGGCACACCAGCTCCAGCGAGGTGGACGCCTTCTTCAGCCGCAGCCGACTTTCCAGTGTGCGGAACACATCTTCCGAGGGCTTCTGACCGTCGGCGGCCGACTCCAAGGGAACCTTCTCGCGAAACCACTTGAGGAACTTTTCCACGTAGGTCAGGGACACGCGCTTCGGGGGGTACGCATATTTCGAAGGTAGCATGGACATGGCACAGGCCAGCATGGTCTCTGAGTTGAGCAGCGAGTTGATCTGCAAACTCCGTGACAGCAGGCAGAGCAGGTGCGTCTTGTGAATGAGCACCTGAACCTCACGTCGAACACGACTGATCTGGCGCTTCAGGTGCGCCTCTACGTCAAACACTTTCTTCTTCTTCTTTTTCAGCAAGGCCATCTCAGAAGGCAGGGTGACCTCCACAAAGCCTTTGGTGGCCAGGTCGGAGGAGTGGGCCGCGTTCCCCACGGCCTCCCAGTCCGAGTCGTCCGACACGACAGCCTCCTCCGCACTGGGCCCCTCGCCCAGTCGAAGCAATGCGGCAATATCCCCTCCAGCTGGGCTGGGATCGCATTTTGGCACCAGCTCAGATGGCTTATGGCGTGCCTTGCGCACCTGCTTTTTTGTTTGTCCTGCATGAGATGCTTTTTCCTGCAGGCACTCACGTTTTCTTTTATCAGATAGGCCACTGATGTTGTGGTGGTCTTTTTCAGGCTGTTTCTCCTGGCTGTGTTTCTTTCTAGATTGCTTCTTACAAGATTGTTCTCCTGAACCAGCATGACTGTTCTGGCTAATATGGGAAGTGTCTTGACCATGTGCCTGCTTTTGTTTGGTACATCCTTGGTTGATGGAGCCTTTGTTTGCCCCCTTCCCTAGCCTTGGTGGTTTACTTTTTAATTGTGTGTTTACTCCTCCATTTTCCTCACTTGGCTTCCTCTTGACAGACAAGGGATGGGGCTGCCTCCCTGGACGTTCCCGCATAAGTCTTGCCAATTTCTTTGCAGGACTTAGCTGACCAGACAATGAATGAGCATCACCTGATCTGGGGCATGTCAATTCTGGGGTGTGAGGAGCATGTTGAAATTTCTTAAGCTGCCTGGAACGTGGTTTGGCCTGGCCTTGCACCTGCAGCATAACTTCACTGGCACTGAGGGTTGACCTTTTGGGAGGCATGTTATGACTACTTCATCAAGATTCTGAAATAAACAAGATCACATTTTAGGGACAACTGCTCCATTGCATTGCAGTTGTTACACAAAGTTGGAAAAGTGGTCCACCGCAGAAAACACACCACAATACATATTGAGGAGCATATTCAGTCATAAAACCAGTTACATGAGCAAGAGTTTGCAGCACTAAAATATCACACACATGTTTTGGCCTAAGGAAGAAAAGAAAATACCTTCCCACACAGCAAACAGCAAAAAACTGGTCCCTCATGGCAATAATGATGCTGACAAGCCACAATCTTTGTCAACATAATATATTAGCAATGTTACAAGTCATGATTCAACATAACTCTTGATCACATCCAGTCAAAATATCTTTTAACTTGCTGATGATAATCTGGTAGCTTAAACATTCCAGTGATTCTGTCAGTTATGTAATAAATACTCAGACTATGTTAGGGTAAGTTAGAATCTGCAGTGAATTCATGTGAGAACAATGAAGATTGGCACAATGTGGCACAAATGGGTCCTGGCAAATAATATGATAACAAAAATACCAAAATATGATGGAAGAAATATGGCATTGTAGAAGGCAATGGCATTTTCATATTGCTGCTAAGTTGAAATCACACTACATATAGGCAGGCAAGGGTTTATTTGATGCAATATCAACAAAGTGTGGCAAGGAGAGAGGGAAAGCTGAACAGTTTGACATTATGCTCAAGTGTGGTTACAAATAAAGCTGATTTTTTTAAAAAGTGTTGACAGCAGCCAGGATTCCCACCTAGCTCAACAAGTGCCTAGCCAAGAAAATCATTGAAAAATAGTCAAGAGTAGTCAGCTTGACAACAGCTGATTAGTCACAGATGCTTACAGTTGATTGTAATGCAAGGAAACATGCATCTGTATCAGTCTGGATGGCTTTTGATGAGATATATATATATATATTATATGGCCTAAGGAAGAAAAGAAAATACCTTCCCACACAGCAAACAGCAAAAAACTGGTCCCTCATGGCAATAGTGATGCTGACAAGCCACAGTCTTTGTCAACATAATATATTAGCAATGTTACAAGTCATGATTCAACATAACTCTTGATCACATCCAGTCAAAATATCTTTTAACTTGCTGATGATAATCTGGTAGCTTAAACATTCCAGTGATTCTGTCAGTTATGTAATAAATACTCAGACTATGTTAGGGTAAGTTAGAATCTGCAGTGAATTCATGTGAGAACAATGAAGACTGGCACAATGTGGCACAAATGGGTCCTGGCAAATAATATGATAACAAAAATACCAAAATATGATGGAAGAAATATGGCATTGTAGAAGGCAATGGCATTTCCATATTGCTGCTAAGTTGAAAAGTGGAATTAAGCATTCTGGTTTGCATATCTTTGAATGGAAATAACATGAGCATCCAGAGCTATTGTTATAATTTTACAGTCATATATGCATGCATGCTTTGCAGCTTTCATTGGACTGATACAGAAACCTGGCCAGTTTGAAGTGTTGCAAGCCTGTGCTGATGGTACAGAGTCAGTTAGTGTCCTGAGACCCTTGCCAGTCTAGACAACCAGATCCAATGTTTGTTCAATACTGTTCAAGTTGGAGCAGATGTGTGCAGTGCACTACATATCCTAGAAAGGGTGGTAAAGCCCTGAATGATCAGAGGATATTCATAAATCACACTACATATAGGCAGGCAAGGGTTTATTTGATGCAATATCAACAAAGTGTGGCAAGGAGAGAGGGAAAGCTGAACAGTTTGACATTATGCTCAAGTGTGGTTACAAATAAAGCTGATTTTTTTAAAAAGTGTTGACAGCAGCCAGGATTCCCACCTAGCTCAACAAGTGCCTAGCCAAGAAAATCATTGAAAAATAGTCAAGAGTAGTCAGCTTGACAACAGCTGATTAGTCACAGATGCTTACAGTTGATTGTAATGCAAGGAAACATGCATCTGTATCAGTCTGGATGGCTTTTGATGAGATATATTGTCATTTTATTGTCATATTGTCAGAAGAAGCATGCATGCAAAAATCTGCTGCAGGGTGAAGATCAACAGCAGCTTAAAATGTATATTCCATACTTGTATGGGGTTTTAAACTGAAATAGCCATCTTCCAGACCTCTTGGTGCTGTTCATGACCCTGCCCTTTCAAAGACCTAAGCCCCTCTAGTTTCTGAGCTATACACCCGTGAAAATGGGGAAAGGTATATTAGGTAGAGTATTTCAAAGTCACCCTGGCATTTATGACATACTATTACTCAAATCCTATGGCCATGCTGCAACTGCCAACAAAAATATAACTGTTGAGGGTTGCTACCTGACATTCATGAGCAGGATTTCCAGGTGTAATGGTAGTCAACTGGGTAGCATTCAATGTTGTGCAAGGTGCAATGACATAACCAATCCATGCCATATTGAGGAGCATATTTCATAAACAGCAAATTGTGCCATTTCAAGCAGTCTGTTCCACCTGAAAACCAAAATACTAGATATAAGGGAGCTTGTTTCATTGCATCTGATGCTTACTACAATATCTTCAATGTCAAACATTCCTTTTAATATTAAACACTCATTTTCATTATTTTTGATGGACTGGTTTTCATGTGTCCTTTCCCCAAAGATTGTTTGGCCAGATGACACAGTTCCTGTCCTGGTAACTCATTTATAAACCCAACATTATCATGCATCTCATACGTCAACTACTGCACTTAACTCAAAGTGGGTCAAAGCATCTCATGTTCACCAACTGGCACCCGAAGGTTGGATGCACTACTTTCACAAGGCTCACAGATCGTTGCCGGGCAAAGATCTCTCAAAGGTAGGCTGTTGATACCCAATACTATGCGTGCTGGGCGACCACTTGCCAGCAACTACCGCGCTTGCGCGTTGACTCCTAAGATCATCAAAATGCAGGCCGCACCAATACAGTCGCTATCGGCGAATCATTACAGTCAGCTCACCGCCCATGCTCCCAATTACACACAGATAATCAGTGCTCACCTCCTGAAGCCGAAAAATCCCGAGCTTTGCAATGAAATCCAATACTCACAGAGGGTTGCGAATCGTTATGTAACAATCCTGGGAATTTCGCGGGAACCCCCGTCCCCACAGTCGAGATTTCAAGGCCAAGAGCCGTGTGGTGCCACCCACGGGCTCTTTCTGGTTTTAGAGTCCATGTTTCTGTACACCTCTGGGGAAATTTAGCCCTTCTACGCATATCTGCAGCGAAGCAAGGCTGCGCTCCGAAGCCTGTTCATGGTTTTGTGCACAATCGTATCTAAACCGATTTTTACAAATGGAATCGCTTGGAAAACAACACGATTGCTGATAGCACTATAGTCGAGCGCATGTTAGACGAACGTTGATTTGTTGTTAGTGGCTCCCAAGGTTCGCAAAACGAGCGTGCATTATGAAAGGAACAGCTATCTTCAGATTCTTGTCACAGGTGCGCCGTTTACCAAAAACAAACTTAACCCAAAAGTCGATCAGCAAGACGCGAGGTCGTACGCAGGGCAAGGCGTCGACTGTCACTTCTTGCCCGAACTTTGGAAGGGTCGTGTTGTGGGCGGGCTTCAGCCTGACGTTTAGTCATTTGTTTTCGCGTATCGGTGAGTACGTTGGATCAACTTGCTGGAGTTGCTGCGAGGGACGGAGGGCCGGTCTGTTAAAGGTGGCAGGCAGTCGACGAGATATTTCGGAAAAGTTTGATCATGCCGTGTATGACATCCCGTACTGATACCCATACCCATACCGATGGATTCTTGTTACCTTGGCCCTGTACATTTTGGCTTTTTTTTACTTGGGTACCTGTATTGCCGACGGTGGGGAGAGAGCTACGCTGGCTGCAGGGTTCCTGTACTGCCATGATGGAGAAATGCTGTTCGGTATCAGCCGACGTAGTGACGTCACTGAAAATGGGTTTGCATCGATCTGGGTTCTTTTGGGCCGACTGAAGGCTACAAGGCATTTGCTAGCGATATGATGTCACTGGTATTCGACTGGATATGTGACGTCACTGGTTGTGAGGCTTTAGGGCTCTTTTGGGTGCAATGAATGCCGTAAAGCATCACCTGACGATATGTCGTCGCTGGTATTCAATGAAACATCAGGCGCAACGGGCCTTATTCCATCTTTACCTTTCGTACCTGTCTGCTGCAAGCATTTGCGTGCCGAATAAAAGCTTGACCGAATCACCTGAATGTGTGACGTCACCAATCACCACTTGATACGAGTGTACTTAGGCCCCACGGCCGCGGTGTATCATGTTCCGTGAAATATCACTGGGTATCGTGACGTCAGTGATATTCGACTAAATATTGGTCGCAACAGGTCAAGGTTCATTTTTAGCTTCATACCTGTCTACTGCAAGCACAGGCGTGATGAATAAAAGCTACCAAATCACGTGAGTGTGTGACGTCACTGGTCATGCATTTTTATGGATCTTTGGGGGCCAACTGAGGGCCGTAAAGCATAGCCTAATGATGTGACGTCACTGGCATTCGACTGTGTGTGATGTCACTTGTGATCAGATTTTACGGCCTCTTTTGGGCCGACGAAAGGTCATACTACATTAACTGAAGATGTGCCGTCACTGGTATCCGAATACAATTCAGGCGGCCATGGCCATGCTCCATCTTTGCCTTTGGTACCTGTCCATTGCAAGTATTTGAATGCTGAAGGAAGGGTCTGCCGAATTACCTGAGTGTGTAACGTCACTAACCATTAATTTGTATAGACTGTTTTGAACCCACTGTAAGCCATACCACATCAGCTGACCATATGACGTCACCGGTTTTCGTCTAGGTGTCATGCGCAACAGGCCATGCTCTATCTTTGCCTTTCGTACCTGTTTACTGCAAGCTTTCGCGTGCTATATCAAGGTGATGCTGAACCATCTGAGTGCGTGACGTCACTGGTCATGAGTTCATACAGGTTCACTTGGGCAGCCCAATGCAACAAAGCATCATATCCTGTAAAGCATCGCGGGATGATATGACGTCACTGGTATTCGACTCAACATCAGGCGCAACAGGCCATGTTCCATCTTTACCTTTCGTACCTGTCTACTGCAAGCATTCGCGTGTTATATCACGTCGTTGGTTAAGAGTTCTTACGAGCTCTTTTCAACCCCCTATATGGTATAATGCTTCAGTTGACGATATGATGTCACTGGTGTTCGACTTAGCATCAGGCACAACATGTCATGTTCCATCTTTGCTTTTCGCACCTGTTAAAGTATTGGCGAGCCTAATGATGGCTCTGCCGAATCACCTGAGTGCGTCATCATGAGTTTTTACAGGCTATTGTTGGCCGGGAAAGCCATTAGGCATCATCTAACGATATGTCGTCACTGGTAATCCACTAAGTGTGTGACGCCATTGGTCATGAGTTTTCCCGCGCCTTTTTGGGCCGACTTAAGGCCATTAGGCATCAGGTAACGATATGACGTCACTGGCATTCAATTAAGCATCAGATACAATATGTCATGTTTCATCTTTACCTTCCGCACCTATCTACTGCAAGTATTCGCGCGCCACATAAAGGCTCTGCCCAATCACCTGAGCGTGTGGTGTGACTGGTTATGAGTTTACGCGGGTTTACCCGGGCTGACTGAAGGACATCAAGCATCATCTGGCGATGTGACGTCACTGGTATTCAACTTAACACCAGGCGCGACAGGCCATGTTCGTCTTTACCTTTCGTACCTGTCTATTGTAAGCATTGACATGCTTAAGGAAAGCTCTGTGAAAGCTCCTGAGTGTGTAATGTCACTGGTCATGAGTTCTTTACGGGATGCTTTTTTGTACCTATAGGGTACAAGACATCAGTTGACGATATGACATCACTGGTATTTGACTTAATCTCAGGCGCAACAGGTCATGTTCCATCTTTGCCTTTCGCACCTCTATACTGCAAGTATTCGCGCGCTACATAAAGGCTCTGCCGAATCACCTGAGCATGTGGTGTAACTGGTCATGAGTTTACGCGGGCTTACTCGGGCTGACTGAAGGACATCAAGCATCACCTGACCATATGACGTCACTGATATTCGGGCTGTGGCCCAGACTTATGGCCGCTAGGCGGCGCCCTTGATTATTATTTAGCCATCAGGGCATTCCGGACCGTAGCTGCTCAGGGGCGCATCCTGTGATGTCGGGCGGAATAGCTTTGCATATACGTCGGTTTGTGGGCTGGGATCACCTTTGTTTTGTGTTTACGTTTGTTCAAAATTTTAGTCGTTGAAACAGCCCGTTGCGTTTGAAGTTGTTACTTAATGGTGCGCACAATAAAATTAGTGTGCTTAACTATGGTGCATCTCCCACCTCTGCTGCGGAACTCCGTAGCCGTAGGTGGCCAGGTGACCTCCTACCAACTGATGATCAGTGACGTCACATACTCAGGTGATTCGGCGGAGCCTTCATATAGCACGCGAATATTTGCAGCAGCCAGGTACGAAAGGCAAATATGGAGCATGACCTGTTGCGCCTGATGTTTAGTCGAGCACCAGTAACGTCATGTCATCAGCTGATGCATTATAACCTAAAATGGGTTCAAAGGAGCCCGTAAAAAAACTCGTGACCAGTGACGTCACACATTAAGGAGATTCGACGGAGCCTTCATTCAGCACGTCAATACCTTTAATAAACAAGTACAAAAGGTAAAGAAAGTACGTGGCATGTTGGACCTGATGTTAAGTCGAATAACAGTGACGACATATCATCCTGTGATGCTTCGCGGGAGGTGTTGCTTTGTGGCCTTGGGCGGCCCAAGTGAATCCGTATGAACTCATGACCAGCGACGTCACCCACTCAGATGATTCGTCTGGAGTTTAGTCGATTACCAGTGACGTCATATCGTCAGCTGATGCTTGATGTCCGTCAGTCAGCCCGAGTAGACCTGCACAAACTCATGGCCAGTTACGCCACACGCTCAGGCGAATCGACAGAGTCTTTTTGTAGCGCACGAATACTTGCAGTAGGCAGGTGCGAAAGGTAAAGATGAAACATGGCTTATTGCAACTGATGTTAATTCGAATACAAGTGACGCCATAACGTTATCTGATGCCTAATGACCTGAACTCGGCCAAAAAAGGCCCGTAAAAGCTCATGACCAGTGACGTCACACACTCAGTGGATTACCAGTGACGTCATTTCGTTAGATGATGCCTTATGGCTTTCGCTCAGCCAAAAATAGTTGGTAAAAATTCATGACCAGTGACGTCGCACACTCAGGTGACTCGGCAGAGCCATCATTTAACGCACCAGTACTTTACAGGTACGAAAGGCAAAGATGGAACATGACCTGTTACGCCTCATGTTAAGTCGAACACCATTGACATCATGTCGTCAACTGATGCATTTTTCCCTATAGAGGGTTCCAAGGAGCCAGAAAAAACTCATGACCAGTAACGTTACACACCCAGGAGACTCGACAGAGCCTTCATTCAGCACGTCAATACTTGTAATAGACGGGTACGAAAGGTAAAGATAGAACATGGCCTGTCGCGCCTGATGTTAAGTCGGACACCAGTGACGTCATATCATCAGCTGATGCATTATGCCGTTTGGGGGTGCAAAAGGTCCCGTAAAAAGCTCTTGACCAGTGACGTTACTTACTCAGGAGACTCGACAGAGCCTTCATTCAGCACGCCCATACTTCCAAGAGACAGGTACGAAAGGTAAAGATGGAACATGGCCTGTCGCGCCTGAAGTTTAGTCGAATACCAGTGACGTCATATCGTCAGCTGATGCTTGATGTCCTTCAGTCAGCCAGAGTAAACCCGCGTTAACTCATAACTAGTTACACCACACGCTCAGGTAATTCGGCAGAGCCCCTGTGTCGCGCGAATACTTGCAGTAGATAGGTGCGAAAGGTACAGACGAAACATGGCTTAGATGGAGCATGGCCTGTTGCGCATGATGTCTAGTCGAAACCCAGTGAC